CCCCAAAACCCCAAAACCCCAAAACCCCATTCTGAATTTCATCTTGAATTCTACAGAGAAATGTTTAAAAGTTAATAGCTTTAATCAATAATTGAAAAATAGAGTTTATAAGCTGTCTAAAAATACTTTTCTTAGGATTCTTATTATATTTCACACTCCTACTTGATCTTTAATTGTTTGTAGAATTTCTTCAACCTTCTATTCTAACTTCCTAATTCGCTCATCTTTTCCATTAATTTCCTTCTTTAACGCATAGTGTTTAAGTTTGTGGTATGTGTTCCAGTTCTATGGTTAAAATTCATTCATTAATTTCTCATTTTCGTAATCTGATGCAATAGCTTCAGGATAGATCTCTTAAAGCAATTTATCATTCATTTCGCCAAGAGACTCTAATTCTTTATATATCTTTTTATATTCTTCTCCTTGGGTTTCAATTAGTTAGGTCATTCCATCAAGATCGTATTCTTCTTAGAGTACCACTAATTGCTGAAAGTATACTTCCACATCTTAGCTGAGAGTATCGACCTAAGCAACTCTATCATCCAAAAATAGATGCTGTCTCACAATCGATTCTTCTTTAACTAAAATCTTTTAGCATTCAGAGTAAAACTTTATTAAGGGCTCATAACTTGTAAAATTATGAACTAATCTTTGCTTCAACTATGTAATTTATTCCTTAAAATCTGATTCTTTTTTATTCATTTGTTTCATTGCAGTCACAATAGTGCATAATTAATGATTATGTTGATCTGAGCAATCATCTTCCTCACAATACATAGGGAGTCCTGAGCAACTAGGCTTGAAACGACAGACAAACTAAGCAGGCATATTGCTTCCACACAAGCAAGGATTACATTTGTTAATATCGACTCTATTTAAGTTCATTTTTAATGCTAAAATTTTACTAATATATTATAATCATAATAATTAGATCATGATTTTACATAATACCTTGTATATTCATTGTAAAATTCTGCTGACGGGGTTTTGGGGTTTTGGGGTTTTGGGGTTTTGGGG